AAAAAAAAAAAAAAAAGAGTATGGCTTTATCTGAGAGTAGATTTGTTTTTAATAGCCTACTCATTTTTTTAAAACCGTATGACTTTCATATGTTTTTGATAGTGAAAACACAGAGTTGAAGCAAATTTAACCCCATTATAGACTTTAAAACATGTTAAATGTTGAAGAAATTGGTTTTTGGAACTTTTTATTTATGTAATTTGATTTTTCTTATATGAATCATTATGTAACTTGAAGTCTGGAATCTTTAATAGGCATATTTTAACTGAATGTGAACTAAACAGAAAATTTAATATTCAAACGTCCTTTGTGGTGAGCTGACCTAGCCTAGTGCCTCGTTGAATTCTCCTCTATCCGGAGTCCAAGCTAACTCCTCTCTGCTGTAATAGGAAAAGATGAGTGTGTGACTCCGGTAACCAGAGACTAAACTTGCGAAATACAACTAACTATATTAGTAATTACAGAGGTCTGCAGTCCAACGAAGGAAAGACACCTCTCGCCCGGTGTCTCTTAGGGCAAGTTTTAGGGCAAGAGTTTGGAAGGGAGTGTCCTTCTGTCTTTTTGTCTGTCTCCCCCTCTTCCCCCACCCTCTCCCCGCCTCCATCCCTTCATCTCTTTCTTTGCTGACAGGCGGTTGAAGGAATTTCTGGTGCGTGAGGGTGGGGTGTCCAGACTGTGAACACACGCTGATTGGGTCTGTGGCATGTCAGACGGGGGTGTGCAGAGAGGACACTCACGCTGGTGCTTTGTCTCACAGCCGCTCTTCTGCAGCAGGAGGGGGTATTTGGGTCATCTGCACAAACTCGTCTTCTAATAAAAGGGAATGTCGGTTTTTGAGTAGCATCACTTTGAGTGACGTGCTTGGTTTTCTTCCTTTAATGTCCGTGCCTCTGAAGTGAGTTACTGATGCCACAGCGGCTGTGGGCACTTGGAAGGGAGAGGAGCAGGGAGAGGCAGCAGGGACATGCCTTCATGTCCAGAAAAGTCCTTTTGCACCCTTTCATTTTCAAATTAAAATGTAAGGTTTTTGTGTATGTTTTATTTGTTTTTCTGGTGCTTTTCAGCCACTTATGACGATGCCGGCCTCAGCCTATGACAGGTTTGTTTAGTGCAAAAGATCAGGGATCATTGGGACAGGAAATTATCATTGGCCTCAGAGTGTTTCAGCTTAGCAACTCAGACCCCGCCACGGCTCTGCCTGATGATTGCCTGTTTGTTTATGGCGTTGGTCTCTTGGTAAGGAAGTGGAGTCACAGTGTGTGAAGGAAAAATGAGGTATTGTTAATTATATTAAACTATCAGTATTACTTTATAAGTTTGTAAAGTTATACAAATTTTTTTAAACTCATTAATTCTTAAAAACAATTTGAGAATTTGGGTTTCACTTTACTTATTTGATTAAAGTCCCTCAAGAAATGTATGATGGGATATATATTAGGATTGTATCAATACAATGTAAGTTTCTTGAGTTTACTATTGGAATAAGATTTCAAATTGAAATGCCTCATTTTTCTGAAACTGGCACTGAGTTAATTTGTTAATTTGGAAATAGTTTCATAACAGGACTTACCCTGGGACTTGTAAGTTCGAGCGAGCATAACGGTCATCATAGGAGCATGAGAAAGCGTGCATTTCCTTGTTGAGCCCTGTGACGCGCTGGTGGCCTGGGTTAGAAGCCCAGGGCTTGTGACCTCCCAGGCTCCGGGGTGGTTGGGGTGCAGCTGAACATGCAGGAGCATGTGGACTGCTGGTTCGTCTTCGCTGTTGGACATCCCGTTACCAGAGCTTCTTACGAGCTGGCACGGGGCCTTCTTGTCTTTAACTCTGTGTAGACTCTTTTGACTATGAATTGCCCATTTCTTGTCACACTGACACCAATAGTAAGTAGTACTTATGGTAGTCTAAGTAGTACTCTTAAAATTCTTTCTCAACAAGAAAGCATTCGGTAGCAACTTCTGTAGGAGAGAAACTCTTGTGGAAAGGGATGTGGGTTGCTGCAAACGCGGCGTGGGAGCCGTCCTGCGGAGGCTGTGTCCAGAGGCGAGCAGTCACCTGTGGTCTCAGGGATGCTCGCGTACCAGCCAAGTCTCCGAGTTCTGAAGCAGTGTCTTTTCCATTACAGTAAATTGTGGACTTTTTATTTGCTCATAAGTCTTTGAGATTGACTTGTTTTCAGAGGAATATTTGAGTCCATGTTTATGGCAGGAAGAGTGGCCAGCAAAGAATCAAGGAACATTAAGCTTCCTTTACCTCTCTGCTGGAGGAGACCACAGGCACACATCTGACCCTCCTGTCATTTAAATGACATTTTCTGTCATTTAAATGAAAATGATTCATTCCTTCTGTTTACCTTATGGGGGTTAAAGAGAAACAGTAAGCTAAGGCTGAATAATGGCCTCATCATGTCTTAGGGAACCCCAGTGTGAGAGCGTTGAACACTGGACACGTATGTGCCTAACTGCTGGTGATGGTTGAGTACCAGGGCTGGTGACAGGTGACAGCAGGAGGCTGGCTTGCCACTCTTCTGTAACTCGACCTGGACCGTGTCCCCTGAATAGCATTCGCCCATCACTCTCCTCTATTGTTTGTGTGGTTCTGCGAGGGAACCAAGAGATACAGACCATTTTTACTACTATCAGTGAAACATGACATTAAACTGTTCTTCTTCTGTATGTCAACACAATTTTATTGGGTGACTGGCCCGGTGCTAGGCTTGGTGGGGAATAACTCAGGAGGTGGAGGAGGGCTCCTGCCCTCTCAAGACTCGCCAGTTCAAAGGGAGCCCCCCTGCCTCTTTTATCCTAACATAAAGAGCCTTTTTCTGTCGTCCTGGCTTTAGCCATGAGGTAGGACAGTTGTACTTTGTCCCTTTTTATATGTCCTCACTGCGTTTTTATTTTGGACAGAACACTTTCATCCATTGCTCCACTCCGCTCGTGTAAGTGCTGGGACGGCACAGGGCAGTAAGGGCACGTTCAGGATCGGGATGCGTAGAAAGATGGTCAGAGTACGTTTCTTCTGCACGACAGCAGAGTTCAGGCTACACATCTGGGTCCCTGTCCTCACAGCCCTGTTGGTGGCAGTGCTCTCCCCTGAAGTGGGCCCCATCGAGATCTAAAGCTCCAGGTGGCTCAGGCCCGCCCACCAAAGCCACACTAGGAATAAAAGGACATTTGCCTGGCTTTTACTTCTGCCTTGCTCTCTCACATAACTTTTGGCAGTGGTGGGCAACCAGTTGATAATTTGTGGGTCCTTACTCCTGGTCATAGCGCATCTAATCTATATCTGTGGTTTTGTAGAAATAGATATTGAAGGTATGAAGATCAGAGAGTGATCTTGCCTACAACATTTGCTAGCTCAGGACGGATAGGAAATGCTGTAGGGGACCAGGGGGCTTTATAGATTCGAAAGAGCTTACAGGTGAACCTCTGGTTACTGAATGTTCAACAAGACAAGGAACCACATTTAACCAAGGGAGAAAGGGAACAGATTCTAGGTGGGAGAAGTAAATTTAATAGCTCACAGCTCTTAACACGTGAGAGAGACGACAGGGCTCTCTAAAGATCGCCCTACTTTTTGGAGCTATTCTAGGATGTCTCAGGACTCCTGGTAAAAGTGGGAGCGGTAACAGGAGCTGGTAAAAAATGTGGCTAATAGAAACAAGGCCCAGTATACAAGAGGGGAAACTATTCCTGAAAGTTTTATCAAGGTTCAACACTCAACAGTTCTGAATGTTCCTAAATGTAAGTAGCTGGATACATTTTTCATGAGACCAGCATGATACTTTGTTAAATATGTTAAGTAGAGAGGGGGGCGAGGGGGTGGCCTTCCACATAAAAGTGGCATTACTTACTATAACCCTCTGTCTGGGGACCACTGGCACACGCTCAGTGACTGCTTTCGTCTGGGTGATCGTGGTGGCAGGAACACTAGGAAAGAGCGCTGGCTTGGTGTCCTGCTTTCTAACTTGAGCTGTTTATGAACCCATATTGTTAGAAGGACTTTACCTTCCCTTTAAGTAGTTTGATTGCTAATACGAATGTTATTTTCCCTGATTATGTTTGTCTGATGTCATAATTCATCCCCAAATCAAAACTAACCTTAAAATCATTTTTTTCTGCCATTTCAAGGTCTATGGTGCCGCTGCTCCAGGTGATCTCTAGGGGTTCTCCGATGTCTTTGGAAGACTCCAGTCGGATCATCCCTCTCTTTTACCTGTTTAGCTCTCTCTTCAGTCACTCGCTAATTTCCATACATGACAATGAATTCTTTGGAGATCCCATAGAAGGTAAGAGTTTTGTTTTTTGCTGGCTTCATGGCCTATCTGTTTTCACAGGTTAGATAGAGAGGTTTGAAGCCTCTTAAGCCTTTTAATGTGTTAAGAAATGAAAAAAAAAAAAAACAACAAAACCCAAGTATGATAGAATATTGGATTATGTTTTCCAGTTGTAGGTCAAAGACAATCATCAATGATGCCTTTTACTCTTGAAGAGCTGATAATGTTGTCTCGCTGCCTTCGAGATGCCTGCCTAGGGATCATCAAGTTGGCTTATCCAGAAACAAAACCAGAAGTTCGAGAAGAATATATTACAGCATTTCAAAGTATTGGAGTTACAACTAGTTCTGAAATGCAACAATGTATACAGATGGAACAGAAACGATGGATTCAGTTATTTAAGGTATAGAGTATATGGGGTTTTTTGTTTGTGTGTGTGTGTTTTTACTGAGGTCAAATAATGTACAAATGTGTTCTGACTTGACTCATAAGAATAGAAGTACAGGTTTGTTTTACGCATAATTTTTAATCTGCAAAATTTTTTTAAATGAAGAAAAGTTCATTTTCATTTTACTTTTGCCTTCCTTGAAACCCTTGTTTTTACATTGTTACATGCATCTTTTATAAGTTGCTCTAAGTACTTAGACAAAATGAATTATAAATAAAATTTTTAAATATTTTCATTTTTCACTAAACGATCTCTTACAGATTTTATTTTTTTAATTTTTTCAGAAATTGATTAGCAAAGGTGGGGGATAAGGTCATTAATGTAATGCAAGTTGCATATAAATTATTTTAAAATATCTTCACTTTTAACCATGCAGAAAGAGAAGTTATGAGTTACTGTGGCTGGAGCGCTGGCAGGAAGTCACCACCGCTGAGACTGTAACTGTGGGGTAGAAAAAAAGAAAAGAAAAAGGGTGCTTGACTTGCCATGAAATTTCTGCAGCAAACACATCTAGTCAGCTAAAATCGCTCATTAAAGGAGTGAGAGCAGAAGAAGTGCATTTTCCAAATTGAATGCTGGATTTACAGTCCGTTTAATACCCGCGACCCCTCGCACACTAATGTGCAGTTCGAGTCATCAGCTGTCCCTTCAGGTCTTTTATCACTGCTTTTGTCAAGCTATCTATTTAATTGAAAGAAGTTAATTGAATGAAAATGATCAACTAAGCTTGTATTAATATTGCTAATGGAACTTTCTTCTTGGCCATGTTTGGAGAAAGATGTCAAGCTAGACTTTAGGAAAGGCCCATTAATGCTTGCACTTAACCTGATGGGCTAATTAAGGACTGCTTATTCATCCGACGAGTGCACGATAGTCTCTATCCAGCCCATTCTGCCTGATTTTACAACACATTTCACTTATGAGCATGAGCATTAGTAGCAGTGAGAGTAACTGATAATGTTTTGATTGCACTGAACACAGTACTAATGCATCATTGAATTTATAATTTGTGCAGATTGATGTAATATATGTTTGCACAATTTATTTTAATTACCTATCTCTATATTCCCAAGTAAACTTTAAAGGGCACATGTTGAACCCTTAATATATCCATTCTTAAAGATTGACAATTTTGCAACTTTTTAAGTTAAAAATAAACCAGCTAACCTATTTCAAGCTTATAATTCTTAGGTAAACTTGGCTGGATATGTGTATTGTGGTTGCATATGTGTTTTTCTTCAAGTATTTAATTAAACTCTGGGATCTTTGTTAATAAAGCTTTCCATTATGTAGGATATCGGGTTTTGTGTACAGTATCAGATAATCTCTTATTTTATAGCACCTATTGAGAATTTCATAATTTTCATATGACAGGCTTATCTTTAGGACCTAGGAATCTCAGGATTTAATAATGCTATAGAAGGTATTTTCCCCTGGCCCTATTTTATTTTACTTAAGCATTAAATGAAAATTTTGTAGTGGATGTTTTCTTATGCCTCAGAATGACTCATTACCACTTGATTAAGGATTGAAGGTTTTAGGAATTAAGGAGAAGGGGGCGCCTGGGTGGCTCAGTCGTTAAGTGTCTGCCTTCAGCTCAGGTCGTGATCCCAGGGTCCCGGGATCGAGTCCCACATCGGGCTCCCTCCTCGGCGGGAAGCCTGCTCTCCCTCTCCCTCTCCCCCTGCTTGTGTTCCCTCTCTCGCTATCTCTGTCTCTGTCAAATAAATAAATAAAATCTTTAAAAAAAATAAAAATAAAAACTTTTAATTGTATGATTAATAATAGTATTAGTACTATATAATATTATAGCATATTAATATAACACGTACCCAGAGGGTGAGCAAACTCAGCTGTGCTTTAGAGCAGCCCGTCTCTTTCTCGTGGGGTGGACCTCCCGTCCCCAGCTCAGGACTGCCAAGCTCTGGAACAGCGCTTGTGGCCTGATGCCTTCTAGAGCTCATGGGCAGGAATGTTTCCCAGTCACCCCCACCCCCAGCAAGCAGCCTGGTGCAGGAAGCATGCTATTCGTGGGCTTCATACAGACATTTTCTGAATTATATACTGTCATCAGTTTATAGCTTTCTTGAATTTTGAAGAAATATGTTGAATGAATATCTGCTTATTCTCACTTATTTTTCCCCATTCCCTTTTTAGGCTTCTCTACAGTTTAGCCTTTAATGCCAGGTTTCTGAGACATCTTTGGTTTCTCATCTCTTCTATGACAACACAGATGATCACAGGGTATGTATCACATGGACTTACAAATTGAGCTTATGTACATGGAAAGTGGCAACCTAATTAAAAATATTCTACAATGGTATTTTAAAGTACTACTTATTTTATGTAAGAAAAATTCTAGATGGTCTCAATTTCATAAGAAGGAGAAATTAATGCCTAATTTTACAGTTGTTTATCTGTATACATTAAGAGTATGGCTTTAGGGCGCCTGGGTGGCTCAGTTGGTTAAGCGACTGCCTTCGGCTCAGGTCATGATCCTGGAGTCCCGGGATCGAGTCCC